AAAGGGTAAAGAATAGGTATACTCCTATTTGGCACAATATAAATTGAACTAATTCATTTTATCCATTCACTATAATTTCTTGGCAAGAAGAATGATGTTTTATTATATATTGAATATCACAATTAAACGTTATTTTCTATAATTAGTTATTATCCAAATTATCTACTTATTTCAATTGCCTATTAGTGACAGATAAGCAACTTAAATGTCATTGTAGTTGAAGTTTACTTTTTATTAAATCTTAGGCTGTAGTATTCTATTTCTCTCCGTGGGATCGATATTTAGGACTCCATTAGAGTCTTATATTACTTGAGCGATATGTATACTTGCGTTGACAAATTCAGCTTTAACATTATTGAATATTATATCTATATATCTTTATTAAATCAAACATATATATAAAGTCGCAGTCAAGTTTTTGGTATCGTTGTTGGAATTTAAATCTTCTTCTTCTAGTAGCGTCATCTCATCAAATTCTTGTAATTGTTGATTTTCAAAAAAAGGTCGGTTAGTTACCCTCTGGTTGGTCATCTGCCTTCGATCGGTCATTTCCAATGAGGGAAGAATTACATATAACCCAATTCTCTTGAGTTAAATTCCCTAGTTATTTATTAACTGGACAATAATGTTGCATTCTTATGTGGGAGATTAGGTCCAAATATGGTGAAGTTGAGGAGTTCATGCATGTCGACAGACACTCAACACTTGGGAAATTCGAACACAGGTAGTAAAACCGATAAAGACAAGCTTCGTGAGGGGTGAAAAAAATCTAATACACGCCAACGACAAGGTCCAAAAGGGGTGGAAAAAAATCTAACGCCTGACAGTGCCAATCTGCACAGAGGGTGGAAAAAATATAATACCTGACAACAGCAAGCTCTGTGAGGGGTGGAAAAAAAACTAATACTCAACAGTGACAAGCTTCGCGAAAGGTGAAAAAAAAAACTAACAACCGACATCAACAAATTTTGCGAGGGATGAAAAAAAAAATCTAAACCACGCAGCGATAAGCTCCGCGAGGGGTGCAAAAAAATCTAACACCCGGCTGCAACAAACTCCATGAGCGGTGCCAAAAAAAAAAAATAACAGCTGACAGCGACTAGCTTCGCGATGGGTGAAAAAATCTAACACTCGGCAGTGACAAGCTCCATAAGAGATAGAAAAAAGTAGCACCAGATAGCAACAAGCTCCTTGAGGAATGAAAAAAATCAAACACACGGCAGTGACAAAAGCATCGTGAAGGCTGAAAAAAAAACTAAACGCCAGAGAGTGAAAAGCTCTGTGAGGGGTGGAAAAAATCAAACACCTAGTAGCGACAAGCTCCATGAGGGGTTTAAGATGACTCGTCATCTAGTATCGACAAGCTCCATGAGGATACAATCAACGTTGTGCATGTCTCCAACATTCCTTCTATGTGTGGAATTAGACCAAAAATCAGAGTTTCAATCGCAAATTGCCAAAAAACTGTTCATATGGTGTCTAATTTGTGGGTGAGAATGAACAACACTTTCACCCATAGACTCCCAATTGTGAATGTCATTGCTGATGTTTAGTTTATTGGAGTCAGCATGGCTCGATACCAAAATGGCATAACCCATGACAAACCAGAGGAAGAAGGAAAGAAGACAAAATATTTCTGTTATGATTTCTTAGTAAAAGTACCTCCAAAAAGCTATCAGGCCTTACAACCACTTCTATTTAAACTAACCACAACAAGTGTATTAACTACTAAATGAAACACTAATATATATGTTGGCATCAATTTTTTTGATGTAGCATGCATGGGATGTCTGTTCGAGCGCTAAGGAACGTTGCTTCATGATGTGTTGACTCCTGTAGTGCGAGACATCCATTTTGGATCCACCGACACGTGTTGAGGGGCACGTAGCTGGGGTCATTTTGCTAGGCTTTGACTTTAGCTTGGGCAAATGCCGGTCAGTATTTGGCACATCGGACGACTCTGATCGGGTCAAAAATATTATTCGTCGCGCCGCACGTGAAATTGGCTTGAATTTGCCTGATCACCAGCGAGCTCGTTCAGATGGCCCCGGAAGACGAAACAGATCACGCGAGTGAGTTCAGAACGTCGATTCCACTTGGAATAGTCACTCGTTGCATCACGATTTCGTAGGCGGGGTAAAAATGCACAATTTTTTTTTTGGCCCAAATTGCTGAAAAAGTGATCCGAATGACTCCGAACGACGAAACTGACAATGCATTCGCGTCCGGAAAAACAATTTTAACTAAGAGAGAAATCCATTTCGCTGCGATGACGTGTCCTGAAAAAAATGCGAAAAGATAATAATAATAATAATAATAATAATAATATTATTATTATTATTATTATTATTATTATTATTATAAAAATATAAATACTATCCTTTTAAAAAAAACTTACGCACCCTCTCTCTCTCTCCCTGGTCCCCCATCGCGGATCCCGTTTTTCGCGAGAAGGGCATCCGTGCTCTAGCCCCCCCCCCCGCCCCCTCCCCGCCGGCGAACGAGGCTGCCGACACCCTCTGCCTCGCCGAAAAACTCCCCACCGCCGACTCTCTTTCCATCCGAGGCTCCTACCCGCGAAGGAGAGAGATCACGTGGAGTCTCTCTCCCACTTTTGCCGGCCACTTCTCCCACTTCTCCTTCTTCTTCTTCTTCTTTTTCTCTGGCGAGGGCTCGAGATAGGCTCACGAGGAAGCCTTGAAGGTGTTTCTTGGAGTGAAAGCAGTGAAGAGGGATCTTCTTCCCCTATTTTTTTTTTTTTCTTTCTCTTCCTCCTCCCCATCCTTGTCACTCGCCGAAGGCGTACGCTAGAGAAAATCAGCGAGGAGAACGACATATTTCGGGCTCTCTTCCGCGCTTCTTCGCTCTCGGTGCTCACCGCCGACAAACTAAGTCTTCCACCTCGCCGGCCTACCTTCCCGGCGATCGGATACTTCGCTGGAGCACTTCGATATCACCGGGCAGCGAACAACGACGCTGTTCGAGGAAGTGCGAGGGTCTTCCGCATCAAGGGGAAGGCCTCCGCTGGCGCTCCTTCCCGTTGACATCCTAGTGGGTTCCCTTTTCACCGTTGTCGAGCGACCTCATGGAGATTCAGGGTTTAATCGACCTGCTTTCAGGTGTGTGATGAAGAATGCAAAGATAAACTTTCTAATTTCTATGGAATAATTCATTTATGTTGTTCTGTTTTCACTGTGATGCTTTCTATCTACTTGAAGGTAAACTAGATAGTGAACTTCAGGCGTATAATTTGCACAAGTTGCTTTTAACCTGCTTTAGATGAAAGGATAAAGGTTAACATCATTGAAATTGATCTATTGATTTGAATGTTGGGAGCTTTTTAGCTCAAAGTCTAGGGTTTTAGGGTTTAGGGTGCGGTTTATGGTTTATGATTTAGGGTTTAGGGTTTAGGGTGTTCAGAGTTTAGGGTTAGGGTATAGAGGGTAGGGGTTTAGTGGTGAGGGGTTTAACTGTTAGGGGTTCGAGTTTTAGGTTTTCAGGTTTAGGGTTTCATATTTAGTAGGGATTAGGGTTTAGGGTTTAGGGTTTAGGGTTTTGGGGTTTAGGATTTAGGAGTTGAGGGTTTAGGTTTTATGATTTAGGTTTTAGCGGTTAGGTTTAAGGTTAAGGGTTAGGGTTTAGGGATTAGGATTTAGGGTTTAAGGTATACAATTTGTGGGTTTAGTGTATATATATTATTGAGTAGTATAAACCTAAAATTTAGGTGTTAGATATTTAAATATCCGGAAAAGCTGGCCTATGTGGCTTTGCGCGAAAGGTTTAGGGTTTAGAGGGTAGGAGTTTAGTGGTGAGGAGGGTTTCGAGTTTTAGGTTTACAGGTTTAGGGTTTCAGATTTAGTAGGGATTAGGGTTTAAGATTTAGGGTTAAGGGTTTAGGGGTTTAGGATTTAGGAGTTGAGAGTTTAGGTTTTATGATTTAGGGTTTAAGGTTAAGGGTTAGGTTTAGGGTTTAGGGATTAGGGATTAGGGTTTAGGGTTTAGGGTTTAGGGTTTAGGTTATACAATTTGTGGGTATAGTATATATATATATATATCTTCGTTTAAAAATTAATTTATTAAAATTATTGATGTGATATGGAAGATTATATTATTGAGTGGTATAAACCTAAAATTTAGGTGTTACATATTTAATACCCGGAAACCCTGGCCTATGTGGCTTCGGAAGCCATCCCCGGGCTTCCCTTTCCTCCTTTCGATCACGAATCCTTACGACACAGTAGAGACTGTAGCTAGCTGGAAGGCTGACGGAATCGCTGTGTACGAAGTTCTCCGAACTACCCTCTCCGTTCCGCTTCTACCCGAAACCATTGCGGAAGATAACACTCGTCTTTCTCCACTTTCCTGCCACCCCTTCCTACTTAATCGTGGATGTAATGTAGAAATGGAGATGAAACTGGATTTAAAGACGTCGTTTTTGATGTTAGGCGGGATTTAGGTTAAATCCTGCCACCAAATAGCCTCTTTCGGTTTGATTATTTTCCTTTTATTTCATTCACGCACATGTAGGATTTCGTTGAAATCAAATGTATTTCATTTCTAAATCACTTTTTTTTTGTTTTTACGAATCTCTCTTCGCAGATTCACAAAATCCACCTAATTCACAGGATTTTGTGAATTCGGGATTTTTACGACCAGGAACATCTCTTTCTTTCCAGGCATCGGCGATTCCTTTCGCTCGATCTCCATGAGACCGGTTCGCAGAGCTGAGAGAAGTAGCAAGACAGACCTGCAAAATAGAGGTGATTTAGAAATAAAGTCTGGATCTTTGTTTGATTTCAGCTTCTAATGCGATGATTTCTCTCTGCAGATTCGGACGGCGGCTTTTTTTCTCCTGTTAAATATCTTCGAGATCCTCTAAGGATGATTTGGCAGCGAGGTTGTTTACGTCTGTTCATGGTGTCAGCGATAGCGTGGGTGATGCTCATTATAATTGCGTTGCTCTTTCACGTGTGGTCTTGCCACTCGGAAATCGGCCTTCTTTCAGGTGTGTGATTAAGAATGCTAATATAAACTTTCTAATTTCTATGGAATACTTCATTTCTGTCGTTCTGTTTTCACTGTGATGCTTTCTATCTACTTGAAGATTAACTAGATAGTGAACTTCAGGTGTATAAATTGCACAAGTTGCTTTTAACCTGCTTTGGATGAAGGGATAAAGGTTAACATCATTGAAACTGATCTATTGAATTGAATGTTGGGAGCTTTTTAGCTCAAAGTCCAATTCCTTGGATGATAAAGGAGTTGCTTGGCTTTCAACACATTCTTCCACTTGTTTCAATCTTAAGAACTTCCTTTCGTATCCCTTTTTTTTCCTTCTTTTTCATTTAGCACTTATGGCTTAACCCAGGACAAACTAGAGGAAGAAGGGAAAAGATGGAATAAATCTGTTATGATTTCTCAGTAAAGTGTATCTAAAAAGCTGTCACATCTTCTAGAAATTTTATTTAAACTCACTGCGACATGAGTGTCAACTCCTAAATGAAACACTAAGGTATAATAATAAAGTTTAGCAACAATGATAATCAATTAAAAGCTGCCATCGGGCCCCTATGCCTCTTCTGCTGTGTGTATCTGCCACTATGATCTGTCTTAAACCATATTCTCCTCCACTTTAAAAGAACTCAACTCGAGTTTTGGCATGATAACATCGTTAGGAGAATCATATTCATAAGTATCAAAGAGGTTGAAGATGTGATAACTGTTCAATTCAGTCATAAGAGAAATGATGTAAGCATTATTATTGATTTTCCGAGCAATATGCAAGGGGCCAAACTTGCTTCACTTCATTTTGGAATAAATACCCACAGGTAATCACTCCTTTCATAAGTGAATGATGACCAGATCACTGTCCTTAAACACTTTAAACCTTTTCTTTTTATGCACTTGGTGTTTGTAGGACTAGTTACTAATATACACTTTTTTTTTATATCTTGGAGCATTGACTTGAAGTCGCTAACCAAGCTTTCTGCTGCATTGCTGTGTGTTTTTGGTAAACCAATAAGGTCCATTTTATGATTTGGGAGCTTAGTATAAACAACACTAAACGGGGACCTTCTATTGGATCAATTTACCATAGAATTGTATGCAAATTCAATGTGACATAGTATTTCATTCCATTGCTTTGATTGTTCTCTGACTAAACATCAAAACATATTATTAGTTGTTTCTCTTACCACTCCAGCCTGGCCTTCCTTTTGAGGTTGATATGCATACGAAGTTCGGTGTGAATCTATTTCATAACTCTAGCAAAAGACAAGTCATAAATTTAATATCTACGTTCATTGTCTCTAAACAAGATTCTAGCGACATTAAGAGCACCTTATGCCTTCTTACGAGTCACAAAGTGAGATTTTCTTGCGAATGATGCTCCACAACCATGACCGAGTTGAATCTCTATTTTGTCTTGGGAAGGCCTAGAACAGAATATGGACTGAAGTCTTCCCAAATTGTTTAAGGAATGGGTAATGGCAGAGAAAGGCCAGTGTTTTGGAGTCTTTCCCCTATAAGTTTGACATGAAATACATCTTTCTAGGAGATGGTGAATAAGTGAATATCCCGCCAAAGTTTAAGACAAAAAAAACATTCTGCTAATTGAGCCATTGTTTTCTTTTACCCTTCACTAAGAACACATATGATCTACCATTTTGTGAAAGAACCAACCCTACATCAATAGCCAATGCATCTGCTTTAACCTGAAATAGCTATTAAAAATCTGATACAGCAATACTGGAGCTTCACATAGATCAAATTTAATGTTTTTAAAGTTATTTTGTAACTCAGTCCTTCATATATACACCATGCCTCTAACTCCGTTTCAAATTCATTGGCAAATTTCTCAAAACAAGTGCTGCTTAATCCAAGATTAAAGCAGTCTTCCAAACATATTACATTTATCATTACTCGTGAACGAGCGCAACCTATCTACTTCCTTTTCAGATAAGTCCTTCGAAGCAACCCGCTCTCGTACATAATGACGAAGTATTCCTTCGCTAGCGCTTGGTAGCAATCAATGATACCATATTCTGGTAGCATTAATCACCACTTTTGTGGATGTTGCCATGTGCCCGAGACAATGAAATTGTAAGCAATCAGTGCCTCAACCACCTGCGGGACTTTGGAGCCCCGATCGCGTTGTAGACCCTATATGAAGTGCCTGGTTTTCATTCTAATTTAAACATATATATAAGTGGTTAAAGTTTCAAACTTCTAGTGCTGTTGCTTTTTGTCTTGAACATCTCAAGCGACAGAGAGAATCTTGTTACAGAGAAACTTTGCATCGTTATGTCATTATGCGGAAATATTAGTGACTTATCACTTTTGTCTTGGAACATAGCACTCAAAACTTCTGTTGTAACAAAACTAGTGCCTTTAAATTACCAAATTCATGTATTTATGTGTGCGATAATCAATTATTGGAAATTTGATAAAAGAGAAAGAAAGATTGGACTTGTATTGTGAATTTTGATGATGCAAGGGGATGCTAGTTTTGTAGATACAAATGTTTCTAGTGCTATGTTTTTTTGTTCTGTATTGAATTTTTTTTTCGAAGTCAGAATTCATCTTCCATGTTTTGTTCTTGCAGTTCTTTGTCATAAGGATAGCAAGGTGATTGTGATTTTGGATACAATTGGCTTTGCACCAAAGGCGCAACACCGTAGGACTACAATTGGGTTTCTTCTTATTTCTTTCAAGCAATGGTAATGTATTGATCTGACTTTTTAGTATTTTTTCTGTAGGCTGCTCTATTCCTCTAGCTGATGATCCAGATGCCATAATCATTCCTGATAAAACTCCGGATATAATTCCAAAAGAATTATCATACATAAAAATAGATAATCAGTTTCCCCCACTATTTGGGGGGCACCAAAACTGGTCAGAAAGGGAGGATAGTTTTAAATTGAGCAAAAGTATGAAGGTAAGTTCCCATTTTTTTTTATAGATTGTAAGTATTAACATATTTTTTTGGAAGTTTACATGCGTACCACTTAAATCCCATGTATTTACATACCTAAAACCTAAACTTCAATTTTTACATGTACGCCACCTTAGTTATGCATGAAAATGTGTATTTTAGAAGTTAAAATAGTGGTATTTTATATATTATACGAAAGATTTAGGTGGTATAAATGTAAAAAAGTAAAGTTTAGGTGTTAGGTGGTATGTATGTAAATGGCTTATTTTTATTCTTTATTGATCCATGATAACGTCACAGAATTGTGGCATCGTGTGTGTTTCTTTGCCTTTTCTTGTTTAATTATGTTCTTAAACTAAAAAAAGAACTGATTATTGCTATTGATATTATTATTTGGAAAATAAGAATTCCATGGAAATTTAATGTTTCTCCTCTCAAATGTTTTGAGCATTACTGGCCAACACCTTAACTTTGCTTTTTTACGTCTATAGCACCCAAATCTTTTATATCCCATAAAAAATACCTCCATTTTAACTTTTTAAGAAGTGAAATACACATTTTTATGCATAGGTAAGATAGCATAAATGTAAAAAAACAATGTTTATATGTTAGACATGTAAATACATAAGAATTGAGTGGTATGTATGTAAATCTTCCAAAAAACGTTGTTAAATAAATCATTTCTATTCATTTTTATTGCCATCAACATAAGATGATTTCATTCATTGTTAACTTGTTAGTGGGTGGCTAATGTTAAAATCTTATCTGGTTACCAAATGTGTTATTTCTAATCGTTAGAATTAACACACAACATAGCTTGATCCTTCATTGGTTCCGAGCATATTGTTTCATTTTCTGGTTAACTCTTACGGTTTTATTTTTGGGAAATTTACATACATACCTCACAATTCTTATATAATTTCATATGACAGCGAATGTTTGATATTTACACATATACCTCCTTGGTGTCATAAACCTAGCATGAAAAGGTATATTTTACTTTCATAAATGTAGTGATAGTGATATTTTTGATGTAATGTTAATGGTTTGAATGTTATGCATCTAAACATGAATATTTAGGTGTTCGATACATAAATACATAAGAGTCGCGTGGTGTGTATGTAAATGCCTCTTTATGTTTTTATTTTTTTAATATTCTGATAACTTTATATCCTAATCCATCAGTTTTCTAGGTGCACTGTGGATTTATTCAAAATGGCGGTGCGGAGATGGATTTGGTGGATGTTAAGTACGTTAAGAAATGCAAATTTGTGGTTGCATCTGGAATTTTTGATGGCTATGATACTCCCCATCAACCGACAAACATAAGTCTTCGTTCTCGAAAGCTCTTTTGTTTTCTAATGGTGGTGGACGAAATATCACTCAATTTTATGGAGCGAAATGGTAGTATTAGAGTTGACAAAAATGATGGAAAGTGGGTTGGAATTTGGCGAATTGTGACCTTACACCATGCACCATATGACGAACCCCGAAGAAATGGCAAGGTTCCAAAAATATTAACTCATAGATTATTTCCTCAAGCACAGTATAGTATTTGGATTGATGGAAAGATGGAGCTTATTGTTGATCCACTGCTGATTCTTGAAAGGTTGATTAATTTTATTAATACGGCTTCTGAGATTTAGCAATACTATTAATAAATTACCAAAAAAGGGGCATTTACATACATACACACAATTCTTATGTATTCACGTATTTCACACCTAACCTTTCATATTTGCTCACACAACACTCAAATCTTTAATATTCACATAAAAAGTAGCTCTATTTTCATGTTTGTTAAAGTCAAATACACATTTTCATGCATAGGTTCAAAATACCAAAGTGCTATTTATGTAATTATGTAAATTTTGAGGATATATAAATAAATAAGAAATGTGTGCCACGTATGTAAATTTTCCAGAAGGGTTAAAATGCTTAATGCAATATTTGTGTTTAACAGGTATCTTTGGCGGGGAAAGCACACATTCGCAATTGCTCGTCATAAACATCACAAAAGTATATATGAGGAGGCTGATGCAATCAAGCGAAGAAAGCGTTATGCTCGGCCTCTGGTTGATTTGCAATTGAAGATTTATGTTTATGAGGGAATGGAACCTTGGAGCATAAAAAAATCAACTCCAAGTGGTATTGCATTCAATATCTATAAATCCTAATATTTACGAAGGATCTGTTTGAGATCAATTTCTATTTTTTATTTTTTTTTATTTTTATTCTGTTTTATTTTTATGTTATTTTCAGTTATTTGTTTTTAACAAACACGTTTGTTACTGTTATGATTTACATTTTTTTTAAAACAAAAAATATAAATGAAAGATTTACATGCATATCATTCAATTCTTATGTATTTACATATCATCAAACATTATATCATATAAACTTCAATTTTTGCATACACATGACATGAATGCAGATGTGCCGGAGGGGGCCATCATAATCCGCGAGCACACCGCATTAAACAATCTCTTCAGCTGTCTGTGGTTCAATGAAGTCAACCTCTTCACTCCAAGGGACCAAATCAGTTTTGGTTATGTGGTTTACAGGCTTGGAGATGCATTCAAGTTCAATATGTTTCCCAACTGTGAGTATAATTCACTCTTCATATTGCACAGACACAACCGGGAGCATTCTTCTGCTGTTGAGTGGGTTAAGAATATGAGTGAATTTGAGAAAAATGAAGGTTTTGGATTGAGAGAGAGCAGGGGAGGTTTAGGACTTTGGACTCCTTATGCTGCGGATCTTAGTTCTGTGGTGCTGCCAACAGTTGTGAGAACATCTCCAGCAGGCTAATGCTGTAAGTTTTTTTTATTTTTTCTTAAAGGTTATTTGTGTGATTATTTTTTTATGTTATGGACCGGCCCTATTTTTATTTTATTCAGAAAAGAGTTTTTTTTTGTCAGCTGATTTGAGTTAGAAATTTGGGCATTTATGTACATAGCACGCAATTCTTTGTGTATTTATGTATTAACCACTAAACTTTTATATTTATATTTATAACACTCAAAAGGTTTAATATCAGATAAAAAATACCACAAATTTTAATTATTTAAAAGGAAATATAGGTTTTCTTGCATAGGGCTATGATGCAAAAGTATTATAAATGTAAATATTAAATTTTAGGTGTTTGCTATGCGGAAAATTATTCTGTCATGACTACTAACATGGAGAATCATTCAGAGTCTAATGAAATCACGTCACGTGTCGGTGAAAAAATAAAATAAAATATGTTCGGTAACACAATGAAATATTCTTCCGGTGTTATTCACGTGTTATTGTGTGAATAACACCTGAATAATATCTAATAACACCTGAATAACACGAGAGGAATATTTCTCCGTGTTATCGGGCCGATTTTTATTTTTTTATTTTGCCACCGCCACGCTGCGTGATTTCCGAATTGTTCTCTACGTTAGGAGTCATGACAGAATAATTTCTCTTGCTATGTTTAGCCACGATTTTATATAACTGCGAGTATATGAAAGTTTTTCAGGCGTGGTCCTTAATTTTGAAAGTTATTTGTAACAGGAAAATATATAATAATGTTAAAAAGCATAATTTTTTTTTTTTTAATTCAAACGGTAATAATCTTATTTTGAAACAAGCTTCCTCAGTTAAGGCTTTAATAACACCTATATTTCCAACAAAACAAATGTATAAACCTAAACCTCACAGAATCCTAAACCCTCAAATCTAACCCTTAACATTAATAAACCCTAAACCATAAGCGAAGAATTTCAAGAAAATCACTTGCGACATCGACCTCTGCAACCACGGTATAAATATACACCAGGCTTGGCACCACTTCAACCCTACGCAGAAGTTAATATTTTTGTGTAAATATTATCTTACGAGCATATTTTAATGTTAAATAAATTATACAAATTTCGTATTTTATTTGTTAATTTATTTTTTTAATTATATTTTTGATTAATTTACTATTAAATATAAATTAATTAATGTGATAATTAATTAACAAATCTATTTATAATAAAACATACTCTACATTATGAAATTTAATATATATATTGAGAATATATATATATATATATATATATATATATATATATATATTAAATTTGGCCTCTATATGTTCCGTTGACCGGAAATTGAAATGACATTATTATTACTATTTCTCTTGAAATTATGTTTATTTGGTGTCAATGCGATTAGATGTATATTACATTTCCAATTTTGGCAATTTTTCATAAGCATCTAAAAACTGAGCAATTATTTTACATTTTTTTGATTAAGGGTCTGTTTGGGACATCTTATAAGTGCGGGCTACGGGCCCGTTTGGGGCAGCTTAAAAGTGCGGGCAGCATTTTGAAAACGCCGTCATCCCGTTTGGTTAGCACTTATTGTCAGATTATCCAAAACTCAATTTTCAATTTTGTGAAAGACGTGGACCGCGCGACAACCCCCGCGGTCCGCGTTTTGTGAAATGGTTTTTACGTAAGAGCCCTCGTTCGCTCCCGTGTTCGCTCCGTGACCCTAATTCGCTCACTCTGCCCTCGGACGCCTTCAGCGGCAAATCCTTCGCAATACTCAGCAGGCAGTCGGCATTCTCGGCTCCCTGCTTGCGTTCGGCATCGCACTCAGCAAGGTTCTTCTTCGTCCTTCTCGGAAGACATTTATTTCTCTTCTTCGTCTGTAGTTCTTCCTCTTCCTCTTCTTCTGCATTTCTTTCTTCCTCTTCCTCTTCTTCTTCTTCTGTATTTCTTCTTCTTCGGTACCCATAGTTCACGACTCCCTGCTTCCGTTCTTCGGCATTCTCAGCTCCCTGCTTCCGTTCGACATCACGCTCGGCAAGCTTCTTCTCCGTTGGCAGACATTTATTTTTATTCTTCGTCTGCAGTTCTTCCTCTTCTTCTTTTGCATTTCTTCTGCTTTTCTTCTTATTCGGCAAGCTTCTTCTTCTGCATTTCTGATTCCAGTAGTGGTTAATTATTGTAATATTTTGACAGATTTACATACATACAACTCAAGTCTGATGTATTTACATATCTAACACCTAATCGTCAACTTTTTACATAAGTACTACCTGACCTATACATGAGAAGATATATTTCACTTTTCAAAATTAAAAATCATGATATGTTTTTATATTATATGAAAAATTTGAGTGGTATAAATGTTAAAAATCAAGTTTATGTTTTAGTTATATAATTACATAGGTCTTGGTTGGTATTTTTGTAAATGCTCCACATGTGAGGAAAAAAAAATCTGTAAATGCTCCTCTTTAGGTTAGAAATATGGCTTAGTATGGTTGCAAATCTTCCAAAAAATGAACAAAGTGTGACATTATTATAATAAGAATACATTTATTCAATCAATAAACAAACTACTGGATGACAATAAAAATTTAGGTTCAATTTGTCCCCATCATACTACCGTTGCGAAGATCTCCACTGCGCATGACCGGAATGGTTTTTTTTTTCATATAAAGCTGCAAAACAATTGTTCTCAAACCGCAATAGTCAAACAGTTAAACAATTTATTCAGTTCAGAGGCAGACTGATCATTTATTCACAAACAACTGCAAATCAGCTGTTTTCCAAACGCACAAACCAAACAGTCAGCCAACTTATCTGGATCAGCTGCTCATCAGCAGATTATCAGGATAAGCTGTTTATCAGCATAAGCTGGATAAGCTGCAGCTGCCCCAAACAGACCCTACGTTTCAGGATAAACAACTTATCCTGAAATGCCCCCAAACAGACCCTAAATATTTATTACAAAACGCAGCAGTCGATGAAGCGTACCCTCATTATTTTCTGCACAGCCAAATATAAAATATTTTAAAATTAAAATCATCCATAAATAAAGTTTACTCACAGATAAGATAATCATCCATAAGATATCTAGATTAGTTTTCTTATGAAATAGCTTATTTCCAATTGAATATATTCCCTAAATGTGCATAACAAACACCCAAAATATTAATATTTATAAAGTAAACATCCATATATTTGCACACGTGCCACGACCAAACTATGGACAAATTAAACTATGGAGAAATTGATAAAAAACTATGCAGGCACGGCGATCACTCGAACCCGACATTTTGAAATTTTATATTTTATTTTCAACCAGTATACCATACATTCGAGCATTCGCTCGCAGGCTCCTTAGAATCTCAAAAGAAAAGTGCGAATTTCCAAAGGGCCTAACTCCACAATTAAGGTAGAATTGTTCACAGGGCCTCCTCTAACTGGGGCAGGATTGTCTCCACTGTCACCCTCTGCTCTCCAGTTCAATTTCTTCATCTCTGACTTATCTTGATTTGCTGATAAACTTGTCTCCTTCAGTTCCTTAATCTGCATTTTCAACAATATTTTCCAAGGTTTATTGAGAGCTAAGAATGTTTTTTTTTTATTTTTTTATCCATAAAGAAAACATAATCACAAAGTCTATAAAAATTAAGGAAGATTTACATGCATAGCACTTAATTCCTATGTATTTACATATCTAACTAAACTTCAATTTTTACATATATGTCACCTGAGCTATTCATTAAAAGGTGTATTTCACTTTTTAGAAGTTAAAATGATGGTATATTTGATGTGATATGAAAGATTTGAGTGGTATAATTGTAATAATTAGAGTTTAGGTGTTAGGTATGTAGATACATAGGAATTGGGTGGTTGGTATTCATCAAGCATGCCTATCAAGAAAAAATAAGTATAACTAAAAATTGAAGATTACGGACAAGAATGAGAAATATTTCAGAATTCTTAGTATTGCATTCGGTTCAAAATACGTTCAGAGAAGCTCAAAATTGACAACATTGATTGAAGATAATGAGCCCTGAGTTCAGCTTACTTTTAACAGTTTTATGCATTAAGAACCACTGGCCACGAATTGCAAATAAATATTTATACCATTTTATGCGCGAAGATCTTCTTCAATTCCACCTTAGCCAGTGCAGAATTCAGGGCATCCTCACCAGCCTGAAGGGAGTCACGGAGTCAAAGCATTAGGTCTAAACTGAAAACAAAGCAACACAGAATAATTAAAAATAAGCACCTCATATAAATGGGCCAAACGCAGGAGCACAGTGCCATCATCTAATTCCTGAAAAATGATTTTAGCTTCAGCAACAAGTGCTCATTTTTGTAGCAGAAAAAAAAGTGGGGCACGTACTTACATACCACAATTCTTATATATTTCCATACCTAACACCTATGCTATCATATTTATATATAAGCCACTCAAATCTTTGACATTAGATAAAAAATACGACTGTTACTAAGATTTTAAAAGTGAAATACACCTTTTTATTAATAGGTTTTAGCACCAAAGTGTCATAAATATAAATATTAAACTTCTGGTGTTAGATATATAAATCCATAAGAATTGCGTGGTATGTTTTTAAATTTTCTAAAAATTTTATACTGAGATATATTTCTATACCTCGAGTGTAATGAGTGCAACATTAGGGGGTAAAGAGTAGCCGGGATCCATAGAAGTAGCTTTTGTGATTTGAGTAGATTTCCAATTTCTCTCATCCTATATGATAAAAAAGAGTTTCTAAGATTCTCAGGAAAAGTAGTTTAGATGAGTGCGGGAGCTAAATTGATAAAGTACCTCGTATGTGAATGCTAAAAGAACAGGAGAGTAGATCTGCTGACCATTTGTCCGCCGCCACTGTGCTCCGCTTCCTAATCTGTTGATGTTCATGTAGTAATTTCCCCTAACCTGAGCAGATTTTGATAAAGAAACTCAAGTCCAAGGAAATTTACAAGTATTCATTTTGATTAGTTTTTCTGACCAAAAAAAAAAAAAAAAAAAAAAAAAATTTAAAATGATGAAGAAAAATTAGGCCTTTAGTTGTATCAAAAGACGCAGCAAAGTAGAACAATTACGGGTAAAAAAACCTTATTGTGTGATATAACGGAATAAAAAAAACAATAATACTGATGTATAATATAATAAGAAGTAAAGATCCCCTCCATAAAAATCAACCATTTTCATGATTAAATGAATGTGTCATATTTATTTATAATCTGAAATAAAGACCACTTTTATTGATGTCCAAATAACCTATATTTATTCTAGTAACATTCAGCAAATTTGACTCCACAGATTTCTCTAACATAATCAATCCTTAATTTATTTTGTCTAGTTTTACTTAACATGTTAGGATTATAACTTCTATCAAGTTCAATTCATGTATCCACAACTTTTTTACCGCCCAACATCTGAATCCATGCAGCATTATTTGACTATTTGCAGTTTTATAATTAAGGGACATTTATATACATGCCACACAATTTCATGTATTTACACATCTAACAACTAAACTTTACTTTATACATTCATATCACCCAAAATTTTCATATCACAAAAAACATAACACTATTTTTAACTTTTAAGAAGTGAAATAGACCTCTTCATGTCTACGCAAGATCAAATATATGTAAAAATTAAAGTTTAGATGTTTGATATGTAAATACATAAGAATAGAATGGTAAGTGGGTAAATCTTCCTGTAATTTATCTTCAAGTATTTGTCCTGTTCCATATATACAGCCTTATTCAAATGTGGTCTATGTAAAACCCTTAAATAGCATGAAGCTGAACTCTTTGCTTAGCCGAACATATGCATATATAACAGTTTCAATCTCTTCGTGTCCCCTTCCATTGACGCCCGTTATCTAAACTTCCGCAGCAGCAAACATTGATGGCGATGACAGCTTGACTACCGGTGCAGCTTTAATGGGTCCATGAGGTCCAATTCTGATGATTTTTACGGGGTTGAGAAGTGTAGAGCAGCTTGATGTTGGGAAAAGTAGGCCTCTGGAAGTTGTTTCTGGTACCGTTTGTCGGCTATGGAAGCTATAAAATTTCACCTTTTCTTATCATTTCTTCTCCGGCGAGGCTCTAGAATGAATTGGGAGGAGAGTGGTGGCGTTGGATGAGAAAGGAAATTACATCACTGGAATTCCGAGCAAGTGCACAGTTGCTGCTACAAAGTCTTTTGATTATAAGGAAGCGAAGTGCAGCTTAGGAGATTTTCCACTCCCAACACCAGTACCCTAGGGTGGGCGACTGAGTTTGAACTCACCACCGCCGCAGAAGCAAGGTGCTAGTGTTGGGACAAGAAGGTCTCTGCCGCCACCTGCACCAGTCAATGGAGAACAACAGGCAATTCTCTGCTTCTCCACTGCCACTGTTGTCGAGATCATCTCCATCTACTAAATCTAACCGATAGCTCATAGGGGTCAAAGAAGAGAGAGAGGTTAAAGCAAAAGACGAGAATTCAAAGCGAAGTGGGGAGTGACGGACAGAGATGGAAGGAGGCAGAGTGAGGAATACATAAATATTGAAATTTAGGTCCAAAATAAGTAAATAGCAATGTTTCTCGTGCAACATATTTAAAAACCTCAAAAATAAAATTAATATATTTGGAGTTGGACCCACAATGATAAGTTATTTGTGAGTCCACTTTTGAAGTAAATAACATGAGAGAATGCCCAATTAGAAGATTTGATGGTTGCGTGAGAAACAGGGCAAGCTTAGAGAGATCCATTGAAAGAAACTTGAGTGAGGATGAATCTTGAAAATGGCTAAGAAATAATGGAGTGATATATATAGAGAGATACTCGTAAGATGGTGAGGCATGCAGTGTGCAAAGTGTAAAGAGAAAGAGTGAGAGAGATCAAAGGTATATAAACTAATAGAAAAAATTAAAAAAAAAAGGCTATTTCTTTGATTAACTGATTTTTTTCCGGTATAAGCATGCTTATATATAGCAAAAGAAAATAAAAGGAAAGAAAAATACAATAAAGGAGTTACCACAGAAGTTATGATATAATAGAATAATAACCTCCACAGATTCCTACAATAAATGTTTAGTATATGCGACAAAATATGTATAATAATATTCCCCAATATACTTAAGATGTCATAGGTCAACTTGAGTCTGAAATAAAAGCTGATAATCGGAGTCAGTTGATGGTAGGAGGTCTTGTCGAAGTGAAGAACGTTGAGGCTTGGGGTTGGTGAGAATACTGTGGTGCTATTAAAAGTGTCCTATGTGTTAAATCAAATCAAGTGCTTTTGGCTAAAGGCCATATAGGCGATTAGATCCTATCAGACACCAATAGGAGAAGGCAATTGATATTGGCTGATGATGACTAGTAGAAAATAGGTGGGGGCGAACAGGGTTGGCTTGGAAGATTCAACTGTGAAAGCAGGAGAGAGAGTATAAAGGAGGTGGCATCAAACAATGAAGGGAAGCAATATTAGAAGAGAAAGAGGGGACATTGAATCAATTCTCTGATGCAATATAGAAAATATAAATTGAACTATATCTTTACTTAAATTGATTTTAGCGCTACCACAAGCATGTTTATATAAAAACAATAGAAGAAAAAAAATATAGAAAAACACCACTTTAAATGAAGATATGCTAATATGTAAGACATGTAACAATGAAATATATTAACAATCTGAAGGTTTCTATTTAAGGGTAGAAGTCGTAAGAGTCTGCCTACATTTAAATATTTGTAAACCTTTTTATTGAATGTTTTCCTAAATTTAATGGGGTGCTGCATCCCCTCTACATAACCTCCTTTTGACCCTATGCATATGGTAATAAATATCACGCATTGGGTATTTAAACATGATAGTTCCCAGAACTTGCATGTGAAACTTCCTAGATATTTCAAGGTGAGGGTACACTGTAAAATGCTGTTATTTGGAGGAAGTTCCTAGCAAAATCAGGTGATTCGCTCCATGAATTTGAAGAAAGTTCCCTCTAAAAACAGAAATCCTAGAACTGTCACCAGCTTAGAATGTTCTTATCTCAGTCATCATTAACAGCTTGTTTGGACTTCCAACCTATGCATTTCCTGTTCACACAATTTTGTTTGAGTCTGAATATTTTAGGAGTTTAGTTCTTTCTACCTAAATAACAAGCAATTGAATAATAATAATAATAATATAGTAATAATAAATAAATAAATAAATGAAAAGGAAGAAGAAGAAAAACTACAAATAGACAAGTGGCATACCGTGAGACCCCGACAAACATCATCTACACAAACTGTCTCATTAAGGGCTTCTCCAAGAAAACTTCCTTCAACATCGAGTATGCGCCTTACATTCAAAATAATATTGTCAGCTGGCAATATAAAGTAAGTGCAGTTGATTGAAAATATTATGGAAAAAAAAGAACCTATGAAGCATGATCTCCAATTGACCATCTTGGATGCTAGATCCTCCACAAGCACGATCTACAAGTATAGAAAGCTCATAGTTCTCATCTTCTATATACATTCCCAAGTTAATCTGAGAAGATAAATCAATAAGCAAATTAACCAAAATAGATCCAAATTTTAAATAAATAGCAAATGTTACAAAATGTTTTCTCATGCAGCAGTTGATTACAAGGCTCAAGGCAAAGCAAATATAGAGTGATAATTTATGAAAAAGTGAGAGATTAAAGGATTTAATACAAACATAATCAACATTATATGCTCCATGTTGCAGATCTCCAATCGTATAAATGCCCCAAATGTAAAGATTAAGATGCATGAAATACCATAATTTTAAAATTTTTTGGGCCAATTGGCTCGACCCCTTGCATCTTCTGCATATATAATTTAAAAATCCTATTTCAGGGATGTATGGCTCCTAAATTAATTGAATTGCATATAATGTGATCCTCGCAATTGTAAGTAGAAAAAATGCTTCTTAGATCAATTTTAATGAATTTGCAAAGAATCGATTTTCCCTAATTCACACCCAAATTTTAGGGGCTTTAATCTGATGGAACTAAATATTGGATGTTCATCATAGGTTTGGTGAGTTAAGAACATGCATGCTCAGGGTTGGTTTCTTAATTTTGATGTAAATGCAAGTTGTGACGTTCTTATTGGAAACAAATAACAGTTTTCCTCATCCTATAGGAGCTTTATCACATAGTTAAGCTGCAGCACAATGTACCCTTTGTCACATAAGATGCCATATGCGTTCAACGATAAGCCAAATAGTGATTGAGAAATTAAGAAAATTGATAGCTCGGTTCAGAAAGACAACATTCTTGTAGTAACATGTCCGCAACACCTATTCAGTAAATTATAAATCAACATATATAATCCAAAAAATATACGTGCATATACTTGGATATTGCATTCGTTTGGTTAATGAACCTCGTATATATCATAAGACATAGAACGAAAATGATTGATACTGCTTATTCAGTACAATTTTCATCATCTGTTTTTCCTCGTTCAAGTAAAGATTGTCTATATCTTTCTTAATATATGCTGTCTCCAGCCACAAATTCCACATGATTTTATCATTAGCTTTAAATTTTTCCAAAGAGAGAAAAGAAAATCAATAGATATTTCTTCGAAATTCTTGCATGCTTTAGTCAGTGCATCAGAATATCAATTGATTACAGGAAAGTAACTCTTTACCGGGTAGTAATTCCCAGCAACAGGTTGATTCACAGTAAGGTTCCAGTCGTCTCTATGATCTCGCACCTATGTTCATTTGTGAAGCTGTGATTTCATTTCTCAATAACAAGCACTTAAAAAAGTAAAAATAATAAAAAAAAATCAGTTATTTTAAACATTAGTACATTTTCTGTAAATGTACTTAAATTTGAAAATATGTCACTAAATAGGACGCAATGGAGAAATGATTCACCCACGTAGTGGGATTAAGGCTTTGTTGTTGTTGTTGTTGTTGTTGTACTTAAATTTAGAGTCAATTTCATAAAACCTTGACTAGTTAAGCCAATCGAGAAGAATCTTGTCTAAATAAGCTAATCATAAAAATTGTAAGTTGATCATATCAAAAGTTTAATAAATAGTTGGATACCCACAAAACCTAGCTATTTAAGAACCTATTACTAATTGAGAACCAGCAACCTCGTTTAAATAAGCTAATCATAAAAAAATTGAAAGTTGAGCATATCAAAAGTTTAATAAATAGTAGGACATAACTCATTCACATGAGTTTTCTAAGGATGAAAATTTTAATTTTGACCAAAACTCACAACTCATGAGAAAGAGATGACATATCAAGTGCATCCCTATGACCCATATTAAAAAGCCTCATGCTAGTAAGGATGTGACATGTGACTCCTATTTTAGTGATTAGCATAACAGGGAAGAATTCATTTTATTTTAATTACAACAAAAGCATGGATGTTCACTAATGGTAATGACGCGGGCGTCCAAGCACCATAGGCACGGCAATTGTCGCGTCTCCTATCCTGGACCGGTTTGGTCCAAGCAGAGGAGAGACCGACCGGTCTTTCCAAGCAGAGATTTGTTCCTATGGGGAGTGGGGTCCACTCCTTAGTCACTCTATGTTTATATATATTGTTTTCATTATTTTTTAGAGGAGGTTTCTTCATGAGTTTTTTATCGGGATTGTCGTTGGCGTCTCAAGTTTTTTGGTTTAGAGCTATATCCAACGGTCGAGTGATGCTACGATAGTATCTCGCTCCCGAAATGGTGATTATCTCCCCTCAAACCCTCTGCATCCTTCCCATATTGCTTCCCGTCACTCCCTGTTGCCCCTTCCCTGCTGCAGCCGCCTAGGAATGTGTTTGCTGTTCTTTCTTACAGTTTTCCCCTTCCCGGCCATCGTCCTTGCTGTCCTCCTGCAGAACCAGCCACTCAGCCGCCAACCCTCCCAACCGCCCCCCTACCATCTTCGGTCACTGCGCACGTGCTGTCCTGCAGCCCCATGCTTGCTGTCATTCTTAAACCGCATTCCAAAACCCTTTTGTTGTTGCTAGAACCATCCACCAATGCCCATATCATCATTCCAGCCAATTGCCGTCCCTATAACCAACCACCACCACCCCTGGATGGAACTCTAATGTGAGTTTGTGTGTTGTGTTGTTACTATTTCCTATTTCCATTGTGCTGTAACTAACTATTTGAATTCAGCAATAATATTTGGTTTTCCTTTTGTTATTTAATTAAACTCCAGTATCAAGTAAAGCTTAAAGGTGAGCCATAAGGCTAGCTAATTCGACATTAAGACATTTGTAAGCCAAGATCTATAAGATTAGAAGAGTATTATCCACTTAAAAATGTTTTTTCTCTCATATCTATAATTTTCCTTGAATGAACATTCGTTGTTTGAGTAAACCAAAGTCCACGATACTCATGCCATTTAAGCCATGGAATCTTAGTTAGGATTTTCATCATTTCCCTAACATCTACTAAGACAAATAATGATAATATTTTTTCCTACAATCCAACTTGTTGCTATTAAAACAAATTATCATTATCCAATAGATTAGCCTTAATTAAAAGTTCTTTCTTCCGATTAAGATGGATAATTAATTATAAGGATTCACACTTAGGAGAAACCTAAAAGTAGAACATAAAATCCTCGCAAGGAAGAAATCTTTGGGCAATGCCTTCTCTAAAATTGAATTTGTCCTTTGAAAGTTGATCCAAAATTACTCTAATATTTAAGAGAGCTCAGACTTTCAAAGTCCATATTCTCATAAGAAGTTTTCAGCTTTACAATTTAACTCTATTCTCAAACGATGATTGTGCTAATGAATTTTGTCCTCACTACACCTTTTTTGGTCAAAGCTCTCCATTGATAAATTTATTAATGCTCTTTAATGATTAACACTATTTAAGGATTTTATGAATGTCTTATCTAACATAAATCTTGTTGCCAACTCTTTGCAACTAATTTAACTATCTTTTTATAGATTAGTCATACTGCTTTTTTGACACTCGTAATCTCTGGGCAATAAAACCTTCGAATACTTTATCTTTGGTCACTATTATTTCTATAACATATTTAGTTTGTGGGCAAGTGTTACTAAATCTAAATTATTTCATGAGCTAATAATTTATAATATAAATTTATAATATTTATTATTACTATATTTCCTCATTATTAAGGATATTCTCATTTTTTGCATTTATATATAGATACACACACACACACACGCTAAAATGTAATTCTTTCTAATTCTCTCCCATCTAGCAAACCCTAAATAAAATTTTAAAAGATAAAGAAGTAAATTGCATAATCATCTCTTGGCAAGCTTTCATTAATGTTTCTATTTAATAATAGACATATTTCCACATCCAATATCATTGTCTTCAATCAGTTTGTCTTCAAATTCCATTATTCTGAGAAGGTCTTTGCAAATTGATCCAAAAGTTTCACAATTTGCTGAATCAAACAATTGTAACCTACGATCCATGACAAAGTCTGACTAAGCTGTCATTAAAGCTCAAATTCAAGTAACTAAAAAGTCATTTTGACTGAAGTGCTTATGTAATCATCACAGTCACCACCTTCAATTCATTCTAAACTTAATTTGAATGATCAGATATTTTCGAATTGTAACTTAATTTCCCAAGGAAGGAAGAGAACTACACGAAGGGGTGAGGTTATCCAAATGACAACACTGGCGAACATGGCTCCTCTCCGCCCTCCCTTGTCCACGGAAAAGAAAAAAAGGCAACTTTTTTTAAGGGTGGAAATAAAGAGGGTGGATGCCTTTTTTTTTAAAGAGGGACCTTCCAAAGCCATTTCGTATGTCACAATATTCTTCTAGAACACACATAAGAATCAAATATTACCTGTGATTTTTTGAATCAATTAAAAATGGCCATGCCTCTACACATATCAAAGTACCATATTTTTGGTTTAGAACATGCTATAATCACTTAACAATGGGACATAATGTTAGATGTTTCCACTTACAGAGCATTGTTTTGTTTTTTCTCCTCTGTTTATCCTCCATGAGATAGACTCCATAAAATCTTATACTTAGTTCAAACTCTAAACTAATTAAGTTATGCCAGAAAAAAAAAAGAATGAAATTCATAGATATATTTTATCAAGCAGAATTCTCAAGTATTACCCGTTTTAGGAAATCTCTTCCATTAGAGTCGGTATGAAATGTCCTATTCGTGACCATGGTGGTCGCCAACCGAGTAATAACCTCTTTTCCAACTCCATCAGTTGGGACCGGGCCAATCTTTATAAACAAAGGTGATTCAAAATAAAGAATAAGATAGGAAAATTGCATTATATTCTAATGTTTTGTTTAAGAAAAAACATAGATGCAAACATTAAGAAAAGGCAAAAACTTACAGTATATTCAAACTCAACATTTTCCTTGTCCTTGTATATTCTTGTGACCTGAAGCAGCAGTATTGATTACAAGATTCATAATAAAGATTGCCAACAGAAAATTTAATTCGCTTAAAAAAACTAGATTGAAATAGGTGCCATGTTAACTTGATATTAGCAAGCATACAAGATTGGGGCATTTACATGCATGCCACACAATTCTTATGTATTTACTTATCTAATTCCTTACATGCATACCATGCAAATCTTTAACATCTCATCAAACATACCACCATCACTATCTTTATAAAAATAAAATCTACCTTTTAATGCATAAATTTATGACACTAAGGTGCTATAAGTGTAAATATCAAATTTTGGGTGTTAGATATGTAAATACATAAAGAGTTGTGTGGTATATATGTAAATTTCCTTGAAAAATTTCATGTGAAAATCCACTAGTTTGTTCAATCAACCCAGTCCAGGTCTAGCCTGATCAATCAGGCTATGTTAAGACAATAAGAGATACCACAATCAGCAAGGATAATTAATGGCGGAGCAAGAATGTAAAACAATTATTATGAAGAATAAACGTGCTTCTAAAGAATGCCAAAACTTAGATACTAACTAAACATATAAAAAAAAAGAAAGCTAAAATGGCTTTTAAAGAGGATAGCTAACAAAGTAAAAGCTATACTTTGATAATTTATAAAATAGGTTTAGGTACTAAGAAAATTATAAAAAGAGGCTCATCAAATAGTAAAAGCGAAAGATAAAGATCCGGAGATCTTCATCAATTTAGATATATTAGAAGAAAAAATAATAGAAACTTAATTAAAGATGAAGATAAAAAAAAAAAAAAGATGGAAACACTACAATAAGAAATTATTAAAAGAAATTTAGAAGAAATAATTATTTTGTAAGAGTATAAATGAACAAACGTAATGAAATATAAATTGATGAAAAAAAAAAAAGAAAGAGGTGAAGCTAGCTTTAAAGAAGCCAAAAAAAAAGTAAACTATAGCAGCATAGGAAAACAACAATTTACCATTAGCACTACGAGCAGATATTTCCAATGAATTATTTCAAGAAAATTGAACTTAGTATCAACAAAAATTCTTTGATTACCCAAACAAATCCAGCAACCAGCCGGTTTGCCCTTACTCAAATCATTTTCCAGTAAGCCACAACCATGCTTGGAAAACGGTTGTGGATAGGGTTGTAAATGAGCCGAACAGGAGTAAACCTAGGCTCAACTCGTATTTGGCTCGTTAAAAAATACCACTGTGCGTGTTCGACTTGTTAATATTTCGAACACAAAAAATATGTTCATGTTTAGCTTGTTAGTTTAGCGAGCCGAACATGAGTTGTTTGTGAACAAAGAGTTGATTTGACAACTCTTGTCACACAACCGTAGGATGTTAAGAGTCGGGGCAAGATTTAAATCTTATTATTTATATTAAAACAACATTTAAATGTAATTTAATATATTTAATATATTTTATTCTATTTTTTGTTAGTAATTTTAATAGATTATAAATCTTTGTAGCTTTGTTGATATATATATATATATATATATATATATAATAAATAAATAAATAAATATATAATTGATTAATAGTGTATTTCAAGCCAAAATAAGCTGAACATGAACGAACAAATCTTTGTTCGTGTTCGGCTTGTTTATACATCGAGCGCAAAAAAATTGTTCATGTTCGGCTCATTAACTTAGTGAATGAATCGAACCTGTTCGCGAACAAGAGTCATTTTAATAATCACAGTCACCTACCCGTAAGATGTTAGGGGTCGGGGCAAGACATTATTTAAGTATAATTTAATTGAATTGGTTTTTGTGATTTGATGTGATGTCATGTGTTAGTACAAGGACATCTACTTAATTGTGTAGAGCGATGACCTTGCAAATGGATTTAATGTAACTCCATGTGGCTATAAGTGGAGTATGACATTGGATTGACATGGTCGGTATTTGACTTGAATGCAACTTAGCAACATGTGATTGGTATATCAAAGATAACACTTTTTTTTTCCTTTAGTCGACAATATTTAATTAATTTATTTTTATGATGTGTTGATTGAGTAAAAATCCCATCTTTTTAAGAAACAATCATTTCTTCTATTTCATCTCCTTCAAGGCCAACAAACAAACAAAACTAAGGGTGAAAGATGTTCTCATATCTATATAATTCACATTTCCATCCACATGGCTTTCTTAGTTATGATTGAATCAGATGGGAGCATAGAAATGTTCAATGCTAGATGTGTAGCAAAAGAGTTAGTACTATGGAATCGACCACTAGGATATATTTGCACCAAAGACAAAACTCAACACAGTAATATTATTACTATGATTGGTTGTCAACCAAGATTGACAATTATATCAAATATATATTCAAATACATGTCTTAATGGGAAGCTTGAGGAAGAAGTATATATGGAGATACCTCCATGATTAAAGAAAAAACCAATAATCAACTAGAGTGCAAACTAAAGAAATTATTGTATGGGTTGAAACAATCTCCTAGAGCATGGTTTGAAAGAATCACCAAGACTATTCTTGCCAATGGGCACGATCAATATCAAGTTGATTATAATTTGTTTATGAAATCAAACCAAGAAGATATGTAGACATTATTCTTACAGGCAATGATGTAAAGGAACTTAATCAATCAAAAGAATATGACTTCTGAGTTTGAGAACAAAGATCTTGGAACTTTAAGATACTTCCTGGAAATGGAAATAGTTAGATTTAAAGAATGTATTGTCATATTCCAAAGAAAATATGTCCTTGAATTATTAAATGAGATGGGAAAGTTGATGTGCAAACCAACAAATACTACCATGTATCCCAACCGACGAGCATCAAAAGGAAAGGATGACATCCCAGTTGAAAAAGAGAGTTATCAAAGAATTGTGAGGAACTTGTTTATCTATCACATAGAAGACCTGACATTACTTTTGTTATGGCTATAGTGAGCCAACAAACGAACGATCCAAATGAAGATCATTTAGAAGCGGTCCTTCGAATCCTGAGGCACCTAAAGATGACTCCAGGACGTGAACTGATATTAAAAAAAAACTAATAATTGTGATATTGAGATCTGCACTGATGCTAGCTGAGCAAAAGAATTGATTGATAAATCACCATGGATTATTGTTTAATTGGATAAGGGAACCCGATTAATTGGAGAAGTAAAAGAACAAACTGCAATGGTAAGAAGTAGTACATAATCTGAATATCATGCTCTAGCTCTAAGAATTTGTGAAGGGAAGTGACTAAAGAAATTACCGACAGAAATTCACATAGAGAACAAAAGTACTGTTAAGATATCCAGTGAAAGTTCATCAACCACTAGTATTTCAAAGAATCTAGTGCACCATGATTTATCCAAAGATAAAAAGATTGACAAATACTTTGTCTCTAAGAGGGTCAATAGAGGAGTTGTCTCGCTAAGTTATATCGCAACTCAGTATTAGATTGCTGACAATCTTGTCAGTTTCTTCCTCGACACCACTTCAGTGATCTCAGCAACAAGTTTGGGATGTATGAAATTGTTGACCTCATTTTTGTGAGGTCTTGTATTCTCCTCCTTAGAGTCTAGATTCTAGCTCTAGAAATTCCTACTGACCATCCTAGAAAACTAGAATTGAGACTCACCCTTTTAGAAATTCCAGCCACTTCTTATTTTTCTTTGATGTCTAACATTTATGGCACAAGACCATCGTCTTATGAATGAGCGGTTATGGGCTATTTTGTGAAGACTCAGAGGAAAAGTTCCCAATAGGATTTCAAGCCTTAGGAAGACATCGTCACGACCTTTTTCGTCAAATACACACATCAAATACACAAAGTTCACGACATTGCACGAAATCGGACTTCAATTAAGCCCAAAAGACGGGTGAAAATGCGAACTTCTCCGGATGACCTCCGACGACAAATTGGACTGCGCCAACGCGTCCCGGATACCCATTTTGGTAGGAAAGGACACCCATATTGCTATATTTTCGACACGAGAAAATTGGCACAACAAATCATGAATTCGTCAAACCCACAAATCTATGAATTCGTCAAAATGACTTCCGGTGGCGAAACGAACCTCACCAACACGTCCGGAACATCAAAATTACCTAAAAATGACATCAATTTTGTTTGTTTCGATGCCTGGGTGAAACACATTAAAATTTTATTTTTTTTAAAATCTTAAATATTTACTTTTATATAACTATTCTTAAATTATACTCATATTTAACCTAAACCAGAGATTTTAGGTCCTCACCCGCGGCATTTCTTTTTCTCCCTCGACCAGGAGCCGCTCGGTGTCTCGTGCCCTAACTCCCGCAAGCAAGGATCGATTGGGCGATGTCGTCGAGCCCGAGCGTCTTCCTCGCCTCCTCACACGCGGCATTTCGCCGCTGGTTGCGCACGCGGCTCGTCTCCTCGAGCTCTGCTCGACCGAGCGTTCCCCCAACCGCGATGTTCCACCTGGCCGATCCTCTGCCCTAGGCCGCATTTCCTCCGCTCTAAATGCATTTCTTCTCTTCCTTTACCTGATTCGGCTACCAGGGAGGTTGGTAGGTGGCTTCTCCTTTCTCCTTTCTTTGATATAGAACCCAGTTGGGGGAAGGTAAAAAGGTTGGCCGAAATTTGGAGAGTGGGGAGGTGCTGCCAAAATCTTTTCTAACTTACATTTTCTTCTCATTTTCTGTGGCTTGGGAGTTGTTAAAATTTTTGAGGAAGAAAGAAAGAGCTCTTGAAGGAGAAGAGGCTTTGTCGAAATTCTCTTTAAGCTAGAACTTTCCAGTGTTTGTGGCGCGGAGCATTTTTTTGGTTACCGTTTCTGAAGATCTTGAGAGGGATATCTCGTTCGGAGTGGGTTTCTTGAATCATTCTTATAATTTTATTTTTAAAGCGACATTAAGAGGTATTTATCTTCCTTCCTCTGATTTGCAATATTTCCGATGGCATCTAAAAATACTTCTTTGCTCTTTTAGGACATGTGAAAGCTTCTTTGGGTTTAATGTGTTACACTTGGTGGATTTGAGAGTTTACA